GGGGGGGAGAGAAAAGCCAAAAAATAGCAGTAAACGCAATCAAAGAAAAGGAATGATAGATACCAATTCAGGTAATGGAGCAATATCACCAAAATTCTGAAAGATTCCCTCCGTCACAATGAATCGTCTTGTCAATTGTCTCCCTGTCTAATTTGAAACCCGAAAATATTTGATTCTTGAGGATAACAAATCCGAAGAAAAACTAGAAAATTATCATTACTATACCTCAATATCCTCTGCTTTGATCTCTTTTAGTATACGTTCCAAGTCATTCATATCATTGTGATCAAACCATTTAACAACCGATCGAGAAATCTGTACTCCCTTCTGTATCGCAAAATTACATCCTTTATCACTGTTAAAGCATGTATATAATGAATAGGTAAATAAATGAAAAATAAAAATGATCAAATGTCATATGAATAAATACTTGCACAATAATAATATCACCTCTTTTGCAGAATGAGGGAATGGCAGAAGAGATAGTAGAGAACCCTTGAGAATACAAGATAGACTCTTCCGCTCCTAGAAATTTTGAGACACTCCTTTCGAATTCGGTGTGTACATCTATATGTATATATTTAGTTGGCATGTATGATAAAATAAACTTGAGGGTAAGATAAAAAGAGCGTGATTTTTACCCAAAGTTCCGTAGAAACCTGGGGGACCACAAGCACCGACTCCATATCCACGAAGAGTTTCAATTGCTTTTTCCTTAAATGCGAAGATATATAATGATGTATATGATAGGATTCAATATGGAGAATAATCAATATTTTTCTTATTACCTTTATCTTTTCGTTATTTGAAAGACCCAAGAAATCAAAACTGGCGAGGTTTATCACAGTACTGCCATTTGCCAATTTAGGTTTTAGACCCGGGGGACTTTACATAAGGATAAATAAAAATTAAGAGCTCATTTTTCCAAAAAGATGGCATAAGAATTTCGCGACTCTTTACCCAATAATAACAGGGGTTTTCTCCAGCTCCCATTTTTGTTTTTCATTGAGCGAACTAACTAAAGGTTCAGGTTGCCATTCATCTATAAGTTCTTCAACTTCCTAGTAAAATGATAAAAACAAAAAATTAGAAGCAGGTTTAACATAAATTTAAAAAAATGTTATGCATGTATACATAACAAGAAGGCTCAGCCACGTCGCCAGAAAGGAAAAAAATAAGAATTCATACTTTTTTACCTGTGGTGTCAACTCAATAAAGTTATCCGTGCGATATTTTTTCGCAAATAGATACCAGACCACAAAACAAGCCAACAAAAGTTCCAATAGAGAACGATATGGGTCATCTTGATGCGAGTTCTTTATGTACTTCCATAGAATGGACGAACCGGGAATTCGAGAGGCATAACTGGAGACTTGTGTGATGCTAGTATTTAGGAACATAAAAAGTTCGTTTAAAACCGGGTAATAAGTGGACATTTTTTAATTAAATAATAGGCTTTTTACTATGTGCTATCTAAGTCGTCAAAAAAATAGATCATGAATCACCGAAAAAAAAAGAGATTTATAGATTTACAAAGATTTTAATCTAACTGATAAAGGAATTAAAGAGATATTAACGGCGATCAACGTGGAAAAATTACGTCATTCATTTATGACGTAGTATCCTAGTCATCGAAAAAAGTTACGGATCATGTGAATTTTTTTTAGAGATAAACTAATCAAATAGCATGACATGTATATTACAGTATTAGCCCAGTTCATCAAACTTAACTCTGAAATAGAATTTGCACTATGTGCTTTAAGATACTTAATTTTATTTTTATTTATTTTTTTAAATAACTTTATAGCTTTTTGAATTTTTCTACATAAAGTTTTACATGATATTTCTAAAAGTTGTAATTCTATTTTCTTGAATTTTTTTTCATGGATAATAGTAATATACTCTAATATTTTATCATAAATTATATCTTTTATCTTTTTCTTATTAATTTTACCATTACTATTTTTTATAAGATTATTATATTAAATTATGAATTCACTTTTATAATTAATTTAGCATAAGATTTCTTTCTGTTTTGATTAGTTTTCATAATATAATATTCAGCATTAATTGCTTTATCAAATAATTATACTAAGTTAATTAATAAAATTATAGAATTTTAATAATAGTTTATTATTGAAATTTCAGTTATATTATTTGAATCTGAATAAATATTATCTTAAATATTATTAGTTATTATCTAAATAATATTCTTTATTTTTTTTTCTTGTATAATTAGAATATTTTGTTCTAGCTTTTATTTTAATTCTGATCATAAAACTTTTCATAGTTTTTAAATCTAGGGATTTAGATATTTGATATAATTAATATTTTAAATTATATTAATAATATTAAGTTATTATATAATTCTTAAAGTTATTTTTCAGTTTCTTTTTCTTATCTCATTATTAATTCTTTTAATTCTTTTCTTATATATTATTTTTATAAAATCAAAAATCTTAGCTAAATTATCATGAATATTATCTTATAATAAAGAAGTTATAGATATTTTAGACTTTATTAAAAATTCAAATTGAATTGAACTATATTTTATTTTAGACAAGAAATTAGAAATAATCTTTTTTCTTATTATAATAACTTTTAATAAGTAATAAAATATTTTTTTGTAGAAGATAACTTTTATTTATTAATAATAGATTTATTTCTGTTCTAATTTCATAATTCTATCTTTAAACTAATATTTTCTTTTATGATCTATTCTAATTTGATGATTCTGACTTTAAGCTTAGTATTTTTAATTTCTTGTTTAATATTCTCTTTTATAATTTATTTTAATAATTTAATATTCTTTATCTTAAACTTAAAAATTTATTATTTTAATAAATTAATTTTAGATTATATATTTTAGTAATATATTATATATATTTTATTTATTTAAAATATATAATAAATAATAAAATTTTAGTAATGAATTATTATCAAAAAAATAATATGGTCCAGTGTAAAAATGTAGATACATGAATATACTATATATAAATTTTTTTTAAAAGTAAAATATTTATAATTTTAATTATTTAAAT